GGCTGGAGGGGGCGGGGGGGTTGCAGGGCTCCCATGAGCTGCTTTGAGGTTGGGCCCCTCCCCAGTAACACGTGTCCCGACGCGCAGGGAAGTACATCGCGTCCACACAGCGCCCCGATGGCACCTGGCGGAAGCAGCGGCGGGTGAAGGAGGGCTACGTGCCGCAGGAGGAGGTGCCCGTGTAAGTAGAGCCCGGCTCTGCTCCCCGCACCTGGCACATCTCTCGCGGGCCCTGATTGTGGTTGAGCCCAGTTCCAAACAGGCGTCGGGTCTGTCTGCGCGAGCTCCAGCGGCTTCGGCCCGTAGGCAAGGCCCCAGGTGTTGTCCTCCCTGGCCTCTGCCCGTGTTGGCGCCAGCACCCAGGGCTGGAGCTCTGTTTCATGGGGGCTCGGCTGTGTGGAGCCACCCGTGGGGGCTGCCTGTGCCCGCATCCCCCAAAGGGCTCGGGTCCTGGGGCCGGTGCTTGGCACTGCCCCTTCTGCGGGGGCTGGCCAGGCAGGAGGGTCATTCATTCCCAGAGCCATTCCCAATAGCTCGCTTGGCCTTGGTGGGGGTCTGGTGGGGACTCGGTGTGGAGCGGGGGCGCTCTGAGTTGTGTTGACGTGCAAAGCTGATTTGCTGCAGGTGCAGCTCCTGCTTCAGGCTGGAATTGGTTGGTGTTTCGTTGTCACCGCCAGCCGCTGCCCACCACAAGCCTGTGGGCACTGAGAGCCACCCTCCGGCAGGCACAGCCCTAGTCAAGCTGGGGCTATGCAGCAGCGGAGGGAAGCGGAGCATTGATGGGTTTCATTCTGCACAGGTACGAGAACAAGTATGTGAAATTCTTCAAGAGCAAACCTGAGCTGCCTCCCGGGCTGAGCCCCGAGGCCAACGCGCAGCCCGGGCGGCCGGCGCCACGGGCCGAGAGCGGCGAGGTTGGGCTCTCTAAGACGGCCAAAAGGAACCTGAAGCGCAAGGAGAAGAGGAAGCAGCAGCAGGAGAAAGGGGAGAAGGACACAGATGAACTGATCCAGGTGCTGGAGAAGACCACACTCTCGGGGGGTGGTGCTGGGGACCGGGGCCCACCTGCTCCACCCCAGCCGCTGGCCTGCGGTGCCAAGGCCCCCGGGGACGGGGAGGCCTCAGCCGCTGTGGCGGAGAAGACGAAGAAGATCAAAAACCTGCGGAAGAAGCTGCGGCAGGTGGAGGAGCTGCAGCAGCGTGTGGACTCTGGGGAGATCAAGCAGCCAAGCCGGGAGCAGCTGGAGAAGCTGGCGCGGCGGAAAGCGCTGGAGGAGGAGCTCGAGGACTTGGAGCTGGACTTGTAGGGCCCCAGGGCCCAGCCCGGCCTGGCGGCGTGGGGGCAGGCTCCCCTGGCGGGTGCGGGTGCAAGGGCCTGGCGCGGCTCTCTTGGGTGCTGTCTGATTTTTAAGAACAATTCTCCTGCCTCTCTCTGCGCTAGAGCTGGCCCCTCTCTGACTTCTCCGTCCTGGGTTATTGTATTGGGGGCCGGGGGGCGGCGCCTGACCCTGCCCCCCACCCTTCCACCCCTCCAGTGTCTTGTGTTCTCGTCGCTCCGCGCCCGCCGCCTCCTTTCATTTTTAAAACTGATGCAATAATAAAATTGCAGTAGTGACGCGGCAGCTGGACCAGTTCCGGTGTCCTTGCCTTGCTCCATGGGGGTGGCTCTGGGTCCCGGCCGAGTCCCAAGCTCCTGACCTCCCACCTGAACACTGGATCTGGCCCCCATGAGGCAAGTGTTGCCCCTTCAGCCCCCACTCCACAACCCCAAAGTCTTCCGGCCCAGCCAGAACTGCAGCTGCCCCTCGGAGCTGGCCTGGCCGCAGGGTTTCTCCTGCAGCCATGGGGGTTGTGACACCCGCCAGCTTCAGTATTACTGCCTGAGTCTCAGGGACTTGATGCTGTCCCCTCCAAGAGCCTGGGCTGGCAGCAGCAGTGCCTCTTTGTCCCCGGATGCCCCCAAGGGGAAGTCTCCAGGACACGGAGTGGCTCTGCCAGCTGGTTCCAGCAGGTGGCGCTGTTAAGCTGGGAGGGGGAGGAGGTGAGACTGGCCCCTGGGGTCTGTCCCCCAGGCTGGCTGCCTGAGGCAGGGCTACCTCTCCCCAGCTGATGTGGAGGCAGGGGCTTGGCTTTCAGACCCTCCTTGCTCCATCAAGGCCAAGGCCGGGGGCTCCCTCATGCCTCTATCCCCTAGAGCCGGGGCTGGCAGCAGTGACAGGCGGGAGTTTTTGGGAACAGGGTTTGTGACTAATGGAGGTTGCCGTGGAGACCGGGGCCTGACTAAGCTGGCGCTGGGCCCAGGCGCAGCCTGGGCTCAGGCCGACAGGAGGGGGCCCGGGCTAGGGGCGATGTACCCGGGGACAGGCTGATCCTGGAAGCTCTTCCCTGCTTCCCTTTTGCAGAGAGGGAAACTGAGGCAGGACAGGGCATGTCAGAGGGCTGAGGCTGTGTCAGTTGGGGCAAGAACCAGGGGGCAATGGGGCAATGTCCAGCGCCCCCCAGCCACCCTGGTGGGTCATGAGCAGAGTGAGGCCACTGTGGAGCTGGTGGCGCATAGCTGACGCATCATGCTGCCCGGGAAACACAGATGCATGCGGCCTTGACCCAACCCTGCCACCCCCTGACTCCCAGGGGCGCGGGGCCCTGCCAGGCAGCACTGATGCCTGTTCCCGGCAGCCCCCAGGTCTCCAGCCGGAGCCTCCGGCCCGCTCTTTCGTTTGAGTTGAGAGGCAGCACTGTCCGGGGGAAGGGGCGGGCAGGGCGCCTGCGTTCTATTCCCAGAGGTGCTCAGGACTCCTGGGTTCCCCTCTGGGCCCTGGGAGGGGAGAGATGGTCTGTGGCTGGGCAGAAGCTGGGAGTCCCACCCCCTAGGCTCTATTTCTAGAGGAAGGACTGGAGTGGGGGGGGCTGTTGCTGCTCTCCCCAGATGCAGTTGTATTGAGCGCTGAGGGGGCGGGGAAACATCTCTTGCCCTGGCTGTCCTGGCCGAGGGTGAACCCTTTGACCCCCCGCGTCCCCGCTATGCACATCCTCAGCCCTACTCCTGATTCATTCCAGGGCGGGGGCTGGGGGAGCCTGACAGTCTAATCCTAAACCTAAGGGCCAAGAGGGGAAACTGAGGGACAAGGCAAGGACTCCAGGCAGGAGCCGGGAGCAGAGCCCAGGCGTTCAGACCCTGCTGGGCCGCCTGAGCAGACTCCTGGGGGTTAACATGCGGCTGTCAGACCAGGGGGCTGTGGTTGCGACACAGCTGTGCTGTGTGTGAGTCATTGGCCCAGGCAGGCGGATAAAGGGGAACAGAGCCAGGCCCCGGCCAGAGGCTGCAGTCGGAGCTGTATGGGACGAAGCGGTGCCACGGGTCTGCTCCCAGTACCCAACATGGGGTTGGCTCTGCTCCTCCAGGCCTGCACCCTCACCCTGGCCACCAGCGCCATGGCCCCTGATCTCCACAAGGAGCACGAGGCCATGGTAGGTCCATGCAGGGGGGGGCGGTGGAGGTGGAAGACAGGAAGGTCGGTGACCCCAGCGTCTCCTGAGCCTGGGCACAACAGGGGGGTCACATGGGGGTGCTGGACGCCCGGGTTCCCTTCCCAGCCCTGGCAGGTACCACCCTGAGCTTCCCCTGGGAAAGGGCTGGGGCCTGCCCCACTCCTAAGCTTCTCCCACCCCCGGTGCAGGGTGGGGGTGCAGGGGGCATGCTGCTGAGCTTGGTCTGTGCCCCCCAGAGCTACCTGCAGCAGTTTGGCTACCTGCAGAAGCCACTGGAGACGCTGGAGGACGAGTTCACCAAGGAGGAGGTGGCCAAGGCCTTAAGGTGAGACTCCTACACCCTAGCAGGGCTGCAGGGGCTGGCCTAACCCCCAGCCCATGTTCTGGGGACCTCCAGGTCATGGTTCCACCAGGACCCTGCCTGTGCCCCCAGGTCCTTCCAGCAGGCCTTAGAGCTGCCCGTCACCGGCCGCCTGGATGCAGCCACGCTGGCGCGGATGCAGGAGCCGCGATGTGGGGTTGAGGACCCCTTCAACCAGAAGACCCTGAAGTACCTGCTGCTGGGTGAGCAACGCAGCTCCTGGGGGCACCAGGGTGGACATGGGCAGGGCAAGGGGTGCAGGGCACTAGGTTTAGGGGCAAGGTGCTTGGGGTCATGGTCAGGACCCTAGTGGGGTCCCCAGCCCTTTCCCCCGCATCACACCCAGCCTGTGCCCCCGTGCAGGCCGCTGGCGGAAGAGGCACCTGACGTACCGGCTCTATGGCCACGCACCAGACCTGGGCCCCCCCAGTGCCACTCGCGCTGCCATCCAAGCCGCCTTCCGCTACTGGAGTAACGTGGCGCAGCTCAGCTTCAGGGAGCTGCGGCATGGCTGGGCAGACATTCGCCTCTCCTTCCACGGCACCGCACCCTGGACCTGTTCCCGCCCCTTTGATGGACCTGGTACCCGCCTTGCAGCCCTGGGCAGGGCGGGGAGACGGGGCTGTCCCGTGGGGGTGCTGGTCTGGCTTTGCTAGGGCCTGGCACTAGGGGGTGCTACACTATAGGGGGCAGGGGCACTAATGCCTGGGGCATCTACAGGGGCAAGGTAGAAGGTGCTGATGTCCCAGGCACCACTGGGGGTGCGGGGCGCTGTGCTGTGGTGGGGCAAAGCATGGGGCAGGAGGGGGCACTGATGCTCTGTGGCTGAGCTGCAGAGCAGGGGCCACCGATGCAGCTGTGCTAGGGCTGCCAGGGGCAGGGGCGGGGGCGGGGGGGGGCTGCCAGGCAGCCCCTGGTCCAAGCCCACCGGCCCCTGCACAGGGAAGGTGCTGGCACACGCTGATGTACCCGAGGAGGGTACAGTGCACTTTGATGAGGCCGAGCGTTGGACCGAGGGCTCGTACCGCGGCACCAACCTACGCCTTGTGGCCGCCCATGAGATAGGCCATGCGCTGGGCCTGGGTCATTCCCGCTACCCTGGTGCCCTCATGGCCCCTGTCTACACCGGCTACCGGCCCGGCTTCCGCCTGCACGCTGACGACATCGCTGGCATCCAGGCACTCTATGGTGAGAGCATCCCCCCCCATCCCACTTCTCCTGTGGGACCCCCATCTCCACCCCCACCCAACCCCCTCTCATCCCTTGTAGGCAAAAGGACCCCAATAGCCACGACCCCGGAGCCGACACCGGCGCCAACACCGGCGCTGACCTCAAAGCCCCCCAGGCCCAGCCTGGCACCCGCCCCGGTACCTGACCCCTGCACGGACGATCTGGACGCCATGATGCTGGGTAAGCTCCCCCTTCCCATCCCCGGAAACCCCCTGCCCACCTGCCCCACAGGCATTGACACCCACCACCTCCACTGTCCTTCCAGGCCCCTATGACAAGACCTATGCCTTCCGGGGTGACTATGTCTGGACTGTCACCGACTTCGGGGCCAACCCACTGCTGCCCGTGGGCGCCCTGTGGAAGGGGCTGCCTGGGCGGCTGGACGCAGCTGTGCACTCGCCCCTCACTGGGCGCAGCTATTTCTTCAAAGGTGGGAGACGTGGAGCGGGGGTCTGGTGCTGGGAGATGGAGGGTGGGGATCTATGGTTGGGGCTCCTGCTGACCCTCCTTGTGCCGCAGGAGACAAGGTCTGGCGCTACCGTGGCTTCCAGCTGGACCCTGGCTACCCCAAGCTGCTGACCCGTACCCTCACCCACCTTGATGCTGCCTTGTACTGGCCGGTCAACCAGAAGATCTTTCTCTTCAAGGTATGGGATGGGATGGGGGGGAACCTCTGGCCCTGCCCTGTTCCCCGCCCAGCTCCACAGGCCAGGGGACAAGACCCTCCCCTGGTACTGGAGGCAATGCACCCATCTCCCCTCCCACTCCGCAGGGCACCGGCTACTGGCAGTGGGACGAGCTGGGTTGGAGCCACCTCTCGAGCTCCCCCAGGCCCATTGCCAGCCTCTTCACAGGCATCCCGGCCCCACTGGATGCGGCGCTGACCTGGACCAATGGCCACGTCTACTTCTTCCGCGGCACCCAGTACTGGCGGGTGAATGGGCAGCTACGGGCGGAGCGCGGCTACCCCCTCAGCACGGCTGAGCGCTGGATGCAGTGCTAGGGCCCAGTGTGCAATGGAGGAGGGGGGCAGGAACCCAGGCATCCGGGCTGGGACTGGAACAAAAACCCTCCATGGGGTTGCACAATAAACCCACTGGAGTCCATGCGGCTGGGCTGTGGGGTGTGTTGGCCCCGATGTGGGGCTTGGCGCTGCCCCCTGGACTCGGTGCTCCCAGAGACCACTCAGTGCTGCCCTGTCCATGCTGTTTAATGTCCCCCCACACGCAGGGTACAGAGTCTCTAGGCACCGGATGCAGCTCATGCCCCAGGGCCCCGCTGCTGTCTGGGTCCCGCTGGTGTCTGGCCTGAGCCACACGGGACCCCAGCACCTGGAGCCTGGCTTGGCCCTCGTTGGGGGTCTTGGGGGGCGCAGGGCCCTAGGGGCGGGTGCAGGGGGCAGCCAGAGGCTGCAGGGGTGTGGTGGAGCCGCAGTCGTCGTCCCGCTCAGGCAGGGCCGGGGTTGCGGCGCTCAGGCTGCTCAGGGAGGCACTGGCACCCAGCTGCCGGTCTCTCAGGCTCTGGATGTAGCTCTGGAGGTAGGCAGGGGGTTAGTGGGGTCAGATGCAGCTGACTCTGGGGAACAGTACAGAGCCCAAGGGCCAAGCATGACATGGGGACTCCCGCCTGAGATGCAGCTGGTGCTCACCGGGGCCAAGACGTCACCAGGGAAGCGTGTGGCAGGAGGGGGCTTGCGGCGGTAGGAGCCCTCTGGCGGCCCTGGGCTTGGCCGCTTCTTGGCCTCCTGCTGTCGGATCCGGAGCAGCCGCCGCCGGCGCCGGCCGGGGGATGACCCCTG